CCCCCCCGGAATATGGGTCCTTTTTTGCCCATCTCAGGTTTGCTACCACATGCCCCATTCAGTCTACTCTGGCTATGAAGACATGGTCAGAGTATTGGATTTTCCACTAAATAATGACATAGAGCAAAACAAAAGAAACCCGAACAGGCTGTCCACTGAAATGCATTTTCTCTTTAGATCATCAATGACAAAGAGCACTTAATAATTTAAATCTATCAATTCTAATAACAAGCTGGATTCTATGTAAGAAGGCCAATAATGACATTTGCCACATCTTGGCAGATTATCCAGCATCTTGCAGGAAAGTTTGCTTCATGCTCTCAGCCACAGCAGAAGAATCAGATAATTCCCATTACTGTACTGGATACCCAGGAACACAGGCAGATGCGGACTGTGCAGAGCGCCCTCTTCTGGTGGATGGGGAGAATTCACTGCCGTGCTCAGCCCAGCCTTAAGGCCTTGGTGGCTTTAGAGGGGAAAGCACTTAGTGGATAAAGGCCCACAGAACGTGGAAGTTAGGAACTAGACTTCCACAACAAAACTGCCTGGGTTGAGATCCTGGCTCTGCCAACTAGCCACATGACCTCAGGAAAATTGCTAAAACTTCCAGTTTCTTCATGTGGGAAAAGAGTAACAATTGTACCAATAGGATTCTTATGAGGAATGACGGGTGGACACGTATAAAGGATCAGAACAGCACCCAGAATATAGTAGGCTCTCAGTGCAAGTTAGTTGTTAACTGTTTTCAGAGCAACACAGTGATCAAGTGTGAGGGCCACTGCTCCAGGGCAGGGAAACCAAGTTCTCCATGCCCCTCCATAAAGAATTGCTATGTCTTCAATTGCCTGCACTGTCATATGAGGAAAATAGTGCCTCCCATTCCTGCCTGATGCCAAGTGCTGGATCTGATGAGTTTCTGAGGACTCTTCCAATAGCAATATCTCTAAAATTAAATAGCCACATCCTATGGCCCTAAGAGTTCACTGTCCTAGATAATAAGCCATTTGAGGAGCAAAATGGGGGTGGGGGGAGAACTGATTTTTAAAGAGTTGTTTTGGTTAAAGATATTTAAACCAAACTAAAAAAAAAAACAACCCATATATTTCACTCTTTAGACATAAAGGAACCAACCAGCTTACAGTCAAAAGTGATTCACCCAGAGATCACAAAGATTCACATTAATGAATAAGGATCACTGGGCAACTGTCCCCTATCCCCTTCCACCCCGGCCTGGCCATCCATATGCAAGTGTTTGGGAAATATCATTTTAAATTAGAGTTACTCGGGTTGATGGTGCTACTGGGTCAACGCCACATATTCCCACATTAGCAGTCTTACCTTGCCCTGTCTCAAGGCCAAGGGTCGTAGGCCCAGCCCACCTCTTGATGCTTCTGTTTTCGTAAAGAAAGTGAAAGATGGTTCAAGGATCAGAGGGACTGGGTCATTGTAAATCTATCTCTGTGCCTGGAAATAAAAACACTTGAAAATGAATGTCCTGCTGATGAGGCGGGGTGCTGTTCTGATCCTTGGTATGTATCCACTGCATCTTATTACTGTACACAAACAGTAAATGCGTGGAGGACATTTCAGGAGCAGGCTGTGGGTCTTTTTCCTTTGGAGAAAAGGCCTCCAATGCTAGAGTGCCAGGTATCTCTGTGCTCTGCACAGGTAGGGTTATGATGGCAGGCCTGGCAGTGGCTAGATACCTTAGTGTGGGTAGAGGATATATAGGGACCCTACCTGGTGAGCCCAGTCATTTTGATGAGAGGATTTTCACCAGTGCCTCATCATTGGGCCCAGAATGAGGACAGGGCCTGAGACCTCTGAGTGGCATTCTGGTTCTTTGCCCAGCAGTGTCCCCCCAGCAGCTCTGCACCTCACCAACCTCTGGTTTCCTTACTGTGAACAAGGGCTGAGCACCCATCTCCGGCAGGATGGCTGTAAACCCCCAAAAGACGAAGAGCTAGACAGGAGAATGCTATTCACTGTGACAGGGCTTCACCCTTAAAAGAGTTCCCAATCTCAGGGGTTCTCAGAACACTGCATCTTCCATTCCAGGTACCCCAAACTGGCTGCGAAACACCGGGAGTCCAACACGGCAGGCATTGACATCTTCTCCAAGTTCTCTGCCTACATCAAAAACACCAAGCAGCAAAATAATGCTGGTGAGTGACTCCCTTCCACCAGAGCGCTGGGAGCGTTTGTTTACGGGCCAGGGCATCTGCAGTTCACCCATGGGCATGTCAGATACTCAGGCCAAGGAAGCATCTGGAACCAATGCTGTGGGTCATCTGCGCACCCGACATCCCCCTTGACACAGGGGCTGCGTGGGAGGTCCTAGATCCTGCCACCTGGCCAGTGCAGGGGAAAGGCCAGTGGTCTTCTTGCTGACTCAGAGGGAGGGATGCTGTTCTCCTTAAGGCATAGCATATTGCACCCCAAAAGTCCTTAGTCCTGCGTATCTGTCCCACAGGAGTGATCCTGCCTGTGTTGGCATTGGAACATCTCCCGACTTGTGATGGTCCCTGAAAATTTTCTTAGAGGTTGTTTAGAGGCCGTGGGGGTGGGGCCGGGGCCAGCCCTCTGCATCCTCCCTTCACTGCCACTGCTGAGGCTGCTGGGAGGCACTCCGCAAAGCCTGGCCCTTCCCCATCAGGCCCTGGCTTTCTGCCATCAGCTCCAGAACCTGGGGCCTGGTTCTCTCATGGTGCCTTCTTAGTGGGGTCTGAGCATCACTGAAGTTCACAGCAATTTTTATCCCTCATTTGGCCCCGTCCTTTAAGGGTTAGCGGAAGCCATTTGAATGGGCACGTGCAGCTCTCGGAGACCAGTGTTAGGCACCAAGCAAAGGACGGACGGGAGAGCTCCCTTGCCCCCCAAATGGGAGAATGAGCCAGACCCACGGAGCGCACCTCAAAGGCAAGCAGAGGAAGCGTGTGGCCTTTTGTGAACAAGTGAGCAAAAGGCGCACAGTGGACCACGACAGGTGGTCGAGGGAGGCGGGTTGACCACGTGTCCAGGAGAGGCAGCCAAAGAACCATCAGCAGGAGCAGGACTGGTACGATCAGAATTAAATACCTCAGTGACAGAGACTGACCGGCTAGATGGTGCCAAGCACAGAGTTAGTTTCTGGGGGTTTGAAGAAGAAAGAGATACTTTTCCAATCTGTTGTGCCTGACTGGTGCAGGAAGAGGCTTCAAGTCAGAAAATGTCAAATAAGAAAATAAGAGGTATATTATGGCTTAATAGAGGGGTCGGAAGAGCTAATTCAGTGCCCGATGAAAGGAAAACATGATTCCTATCAAAGGAGTTTGGAGTCAGAAGACTTTAACTAAGGTCCTTTGAGAAAGCTTCTCAAAGCAGGTTCAACTGGGTCATAAAGATTAGAGGAAAGCTGGGCCTGGTGATGCACGTCTGTAATCCCAAAGGCTTGGGAGGCTGAGGCAGGAGAATTGCAAGTTCAAAGCCAGCTTCTGCGATTTAGCCCTGAGTCACTCAATGAGACCCTGTCTCTAAACAAAATACCATAAGGGCTGGAGATGTGGCTCAGTGGTTAAGTGCCCCTGGGTTCAATCCCTGGTAACATGAAAAAAAAATAGGGAAGAATCAGATGAGGCTAGAGCATGGAGAATGTGGGAGGGTGAGGAAAAGCCAGAACAGAGACCTGGACAAGTGGCTGGGGCTCACAGAGGGCTTAGAGCACACCCTGTGAGCAATGGCAGCCATAAGATGTACAAGATAGAGGCCATAGAAGGAGGGTGACCCTCTTAGGGGACAAGAAGAAGCATGTGGCAAATATTTTCAATATACTCTGATCTTGCTTCATGGCTATCTGGATCCTGTAGTGGGTCAGTGTCTTCTCCAAATTCATGTCCACCTGGGACCTTATACCAAATAAGATTGTCACCTTATTTGGAAATAGGGTCTTTGCATAGGTAACTAGTTAAAGATGTCAGAGAGGGTCATCCAATAACTGGTGTCCTCTTGAGAAGAAGAAAAGACGGAAAGAGAGATGGGAATGCTGAGCCAGGAGCTAGAAGAAGCAGGAAGGACACCTGCTGACACTGGATTTTTTTTTTTTCTGACTCTGTTCTCCAGACCCTTATGGGGACAATCTCGCTATTTTAAGTCACCCAGTTAGTGAACTTGTTGTGGCTTCCCTAGCAAATTTTTCTCAGAGGCCCTCAGAGCCATCATGGGAAAGAAGAGTTATTGCCACTTTGCTGGCTGAGGACCCAGAGGCAAGCAAGAGGGGACCCGTGGCTTGCCCTCTCCCCAGGGCCCAGAGCTGGCTCTTGGTGGCTTCTGGTTTTCAGATTCCACATCCAGCGTCCTTTCATCTCGACCACAAACATCTTCCTTCATACTTGTCAGAGTGCCCTCAGAAAGATGATCTCATTGGAGACTCCCAGATTTTTAAAATTATAAATGGTATTTACATATGATCCATATTTACAGTTCTCTTATCCCCAAAGCCAAAGCAACCGTTGCCACAGAAGGCCGAGTATCAGTTTCCTATAAACTCAATACTTTCCAATTTTCATTGCTCCCCTTCTTCTGTTTCACCCTGTATTTCTCTGTCCCGGGTTTTGCCCTTGTGACTCCGTCTTCTCCTAACTTGTTTGCACATTTCAAAGCTCTGACATTTCTGCTCCCCAAGAGCCTGGTTCCCAGATGCCCCACCTGCAGTCACTGTGGCTTGCTCACCCCTCCTCCACGTCTCCTTGACTTTTCCCTCTTCCCATCCTGCACCCCTGAGTTGTGATCCACAGAGTTCAAAAGCTCTTATGCTTCAAACCAGAGGCCACGGCCCCTGTGGGGCCCGTCCTGTGGGAGAGCAGCAGTCCTACAAGGGAGCCCAGGGCATCTCCGTGGTCCCAACCCACAGGACACTTGCCCTGGGAGACCGTCTACAACCCTCTCTGACATGTCGGTGCTCTGTGGCCAGAAGCCTCGCCTGGATCCCTGCCAGGGCATCAGCGGGCAGCCCAGCCTGTTTTGGCAGACTTTCCTACATACCCCACTTGGCCATCTCTCTTTCTGGATCTTCAGCTTTACATCGAATTCTCCAACATCCTTTCTTTGGATTGTCCCTCTTGTGATGTCAATTTGTTTTCTTCCTTTGGAACAGAGAGTTCCCCAATACAGTCCCCATGTCTACCCCGGTCTCTTCCTGTCCCGTCAACACAAAAACAGGAAAAAAGCCAACGCTGTGACATTGTTTTCTGGGGTGGATCATCCTTTATTCCCACGGTGGCTATAGGAGCTGCCATTCAAAATTCCCAGTCCACTAGGCCTTCAGAGTCCCCACCTCCCGGAACTAGAGCTCACCTGTGGGAGCCACCCCTTGCTCGTTCTCAAAAGAGCTACCTGTTAGTTTGTACTTGCAGTCACTCATTTATTCATTCAACTAACACAGCTTGCTGGGAGTGGCCAAGGTCTGAACTCATTTTAAAGGGCACTTGTGTGCCAGGCTCTGGAGCAGTGGAGATGAATGAGACAGTTATTGTCCTCAAAGAACCAACTGTCCATGGGGGCTGGAGAACATGCCAATGTGTAGTTACCACCTCAGGTTTGAATGGCAGACCTTCTACCTGCACAGTTGTACCTAAGAGGCATATTACCTCCAAGCCTCTGTTTCTACATCTGTAAAATGGACATAACGATACCTTCGATTTCTTCGTCTGCCAAATAAGGCAATTAATAGCATATCCAAGGTGTGGAATGTGGGGAGGGTGAGGAAAAGCTGGAATGGAGATCTGAAAGAAGGGCTGGGACCTGCAGGGGGCTTGGAGCATACCCTGTGCTATATAATGCAGATGCATTCATTTTATAAGTCAGTGCATGTAGATCCTTTAGCACAGTGCCTGGCTCCTAGAAAATATTCATTAAATGCTAATTTCAATAATTGTAGTTATGGTAAAAATGGGACAAATGTGCATAGTGCATTGCTAAAAACTACTGTTTTTAATTAAAAACTACTGTTAACCTATGGAGATTCCTCAAAAACTGGGAATGGAACCACCATTTGCCCCTACCACTCAAAGGACTTAAAATCAGCAAACTACAGTGATGCAGCCACATCAATGTTTATAGTGGCTCAATTTATAATAGCTAAGATATGAAACCAACCTAGGTGTCCTTCAACAGATGAATGGATGAAGAAAATGTGGTGTATATATGAAACGGAGTACTACTCAGCCATAAAGAAGAATGAAATTATGGCAGTTGCCAGTAAATGGAAGAATCTGGAGACTATCATGCTAAGTGAACTAAGCCAATCCCACCAATCCAAAGGTCGAATGGTCTTTCTGATGCACAGATGCTAACACACATTAAGGGGGCAGACAGAATAGAAATTCAGTGGATTAGACAAAGGGGAATGAAGGGAAGGGAGAGGGGATGGGAATAGGAAAGACGGTGGACTGAACTGGACAGAACTTTCCTATGTTCACATATGAATGCACGACCAGTGAAACTCCACATCAGGTACAGCCACAAGACTGGGATCCTAATTAGAATAAGATAGACTCCATATCTGTATAAATACATCAATATAGACTCTCCTGTCATGTTTAACTAAAAAGAATAACAATAACAACAAAAAAACTACTGCTAAGTCTCTTCCTTCCCACTCACCCCCCAACCAGCACTTCCAGATCTCCCACCCAATCAGCCTCTTTTCCACTTTTCAACCCCCCTGTCTCCCCCACCCTTGGTGCCCATGGCCCGGTCCTGACTGTACACCCTCAGCACCTCAGAATTGCTCTTGGTCCTGAGTCTGACTTCTGTGCTGTTTGGGGACCCGTCCCTGTGCCGCCTCCTCCTTCCGTCATCACCAAATCCAGGTCCCCTTGGTTCACTGTGACCCTACAGTGCCTCCAGGCCCTTCTCTAATTCTTTCTCTAATCTGCTCTTCACTCCACATACACATGGCCTGGTCTTTGATGGCTGGGGTCACAAGACCACTGCTGCGTGGGCAGGTTGCTTCATCTTTTTGTCACTTGAGGTCTTGCACCCCCAGATTTGGCCTCAGGGGAGAGACGAGAATGGTGTCTCTGGACGGGCTGCATTTCCAATGTGCAGAGGCAGGTGATTGTTGAGGGTGATCTGCAGACTAGAGCCTGCTGCCTGGGTTAGCTTCAGCTTTGCCTCTTGTAGGGAA